TATTCCTGCAGCGCAGGCTATCCTAGAGGGTGTTATGCGAATTGAAGTGTCCTTCCGTCACAGATACTTGTTGCTTATTTGGCCAATATACCTATGAAATGCGTGGTTTCTTTTCTTGTGCTTTTATTGTGCTGTGCGTGCTCTTATTGGTCAATAGCTATTGAGGGAAAAACCACATCTTAGATGTACGGGGATAAAAACATGTATTAGTGTTATACTAACTTGTTGAGGACTAAGTAAAGAATAAAATAATAGGAATTGACTCTTAATTAAACTACTCCCAGAGATGGCGCTGAAGTCAGTTCTCACATTTTTATCGTGTTAGCCTGTCGACAGAGCTTGGTTGTTCCCATTCAAATGATAGCTGTCAAGCAGTACCGCATATTTTTTGTAGTGTTGCGTGTTGTTCTCTGTTCTACAAAGTGCAATTTGAGATATGCGTTCAGTTATGAACTTGTGTGCTTTGGGAAGTAAATGAGACCATGGGCTAAGCGGAAGGTATGCGGGGTGCTGATGTGTAATAAATTATAACGCGCAATTCAGTGTTATATCTATCACCATACCTTTATTTTATTGTTGTTTTGTCAGCTGTATGATCAAGCCGCAGTTGCCGAGATTGTCCTCCACAACACCGGCAAAGTGGGCTTCAATATGTAATTTGTGCTACATATACTGGTAAGCCAGATAAAGGTGGATTAGTTTGGATATCTATTAATTTCAAGCTTTTAAAATTCAAATTCTAGGTCAGTTACTATTTCAAACAGAAGTGATATAATCGTCCAGTACAAGTGGACAAAGTTTGCAACACTCAGAGAAGAACTACAACATAAAGACAGGTGAATATCTTCCCTTTCAAGGTGGAGTTTCTCTGTAGCGGTACAAGTAGTGCAAGGAAAAGAATGGCTTTCCAAAGCTCCTGTAGTTTGCATTCCCTGAGATGATCACATTGTACTAACTGCGTACCCATTCTCAGCCTTTAACTTGACTTGAAGGATCCTGTTATCAGAGTGTGGAGGTGTCAGAAACAACATTTGACATTTTGTTGGTTCTTTTTTCTTTTTAGATTTTATATGGACCTTGAAAGTGAGGAAAATGCTGAAAAAGATGAGTTCTTTGAAGAATGCCTCAGTGATCCAACTCTCAGAGATCAAATGTCAATCTTGACTAGAAAATTTAAAAACAAAATGCAGGTAAATGAGAATTGTGAAAATAATGTCCAACTTAAATTTTAGTGAAACCTAATCAGTTAATGTCTAGCTGATCTTGAAATGAAGACAGTGCAAAGAAAATGTACACCCAAAAACATCTACTTTTTTGGATTTGACCTCACTTTAAACTGAAATTCTAATACAGTGACTTGTTAAAGTAATATATTGTTTACAAGTGTAATTTGTGAAAAATAGCACTTAAAGTAGTACCAATTGTGCAGCCATTTTTTGTACAAATGTCAATGTTTTGTGAAAATTAAGGTAATAAACTATACAGTCAACTATTTAGGTTTATTAATATGCACGTAAGTACACGGTAGATGGTGCATAAAACTAAATAGTTATGGTTTTCAAACATTTCATCATAGGTTGTGAATGATGATAAGATGCTCTATGCAGACTCAATAGTCACCATTGACCCAGTGGTANTTTACTCTAGCTGGCTTTTCAAATGTATAACCTGCAATCACAAAGCCTGGAATTTTTGGGTGAAAAGGAAATAAGAAACATTGGGCATCCATCAACTTTTGAGACTCCTCTCAGTTTTGTCAGTTAGGTCATGGGCTCTGCTAACAATATTCCTTTGAGTATTTTTAATAAAATGTACTACCTGAGAAGAGAATTTGTGACAGATTCCCAGTGACACTGATTGTGAGTGTTTTTTTCTTTAGTTATGCCAGAACTATCTATTGTGATGTGACAGGAAGAGAATCAAGGCTGCCCTTGAGAATCAGAGGGGATGGCACTGGCCCACAAGTGCATTTCTCTTTGGACACATTAGATATTGGCAATGTGTTCCTGAATTCTCAGCATTCATATGAGGTAAACAGTAATTTCCCATCTCCTTTTTGCTGTAAAAGAGCTATAAGTCATCCAATTAATAACTATTAAGATGATACCATAACTAATGAAAAGAACTGCAAAATGAGATTGTGTTGTTCCAGAAAATATCCATACCTCCCCCACGGAAGGGAATTTTTGCTAAGTCCTCCCCACCCCTCTGGAAATTCCGATTGAGTTTCATACATTTCTTTAAATTTTTTGGTCTTACAGAACCCCCCAACCCCCAGGAAATTCCAATCCCTTCTGTGGGGAGAGTATGGATATTTTCTGGAACTGAACATTGTGCAAGGTCAAAAAAATAAGAACCTGGTTCACTGTCTCAAAGTTTCTAGCTAACAGTGTTGTAAACCTTTTACAGCTTTTTACAAGTTTTACATATTTCCAAGAAATATTTTATAAGCCTTTTCTAGAATATCAAGTGTACTTTGCTTGAGCTGAAAT